AGAAGTACCTGAATACGCAAGATTTCCTGGATGCTATTGATAGCAAGTTGCAGTCACTGATGGGATAAGCTCAATGTTGCCTCTTGTTTTGTGTCTTACTTCAATTTTCTACCATTCGTCCATAATTTCACTTTATTCGCATTATTCGATTTTCCGTTAGCATTCATTTAATCGAGCTTATTCATTTTTTCCTGTCTTAAGCCGTAACATAATGTTTAATATATCATATATCTGGATCTTATTGTATTAGAGTTTGTTGGTGGTTCGTTATCCAAACGCGCCTACATTCGCAATATGCCAAAACATGTGGATTAAAAAAAAAAAAAAAAAACAAGAAGATTCTGTCTTACCAATTTATACTAGTGCATTGGTCAATTCTCTATCTTCTTAACATATCTCTAGTTATTCTGTTTTCTGAATCCCTCTGCAGTAGCGTTGTGTATTCTGAATTTGTTATCAGTTTATTTGTTGTTATTTTTCAGTTTCTTCATATACATTAAAAAAGTGATGCTGTTAAAGTGTGTTAATTTGGTTGACGGAGCTGAACTTTTAAGCAGTCCCATGTGCCATTTCACTGTGGGCAGTTAATGCAGTACCAGTCACAAGTGCAATAGCTGATATGTAGTTCCTTTTTCCGCACTTTGCCGGCATCAAAGATTGTATGCGAACGGACAGAAATCAAGAATTGGATGCTTTAGTGACGGAGGTCGATGACTGTCGTCTGCCATTTGTGCACTCTCTTTGATCAGTTTTCGGTTTCATCGTAGCGCAACTTTACGTCATCAACTGCACTTCGTACTGCTTCCAGTGGTTTCTTCATCAGGAGTTGTTTCATCGCCTGGCCAGTCATCTTCTCCTGTTGTTAGCCTCTTCATTCTTCCAAAGAGGTACTAAAAGTATTCTTGGGCAAGTTAGAATTAGGCCATTTCAATTCTATGCATTTTCTTTAAGCAGTACCAGCGTGCAAAGCAAGCATCAGAGACACACATTCATTTCTGGAACGGATCAAGCACCGCATCAGTTCCTCGAATTTGGCTGTGCCAGCCCTTTGTCGAGACAAAAGACATATAAAGACTTCTCGATCAAGTGATAGTACATCGTAAGTGACATTTCTGCCAATACATAGTATCAAGTGACGCTTCTGGGAGCAAATAGTAGCGTCACTAAGGACTGACCCGTGATGGAATTGACAAAACCGCAGAGGTGCGTCTTATAATTAGAAGCAACAGCAGCACGAACCCAGCTGCTGTAAAGTTCACTCATACTGAGCTCAGAATTATAATAATTGGCCAACGCACGGGCTGCCCGTGCGAAGAAGCGTTTTC